AGGCAACTCTTCATAAGGTGGGTGTCCCGTATGCTTGGGTCCCCTTTTAGCACTACATGTAATGCACGTTCTGCACCATTCTTCTACATCTTGCCTCATACCCATCCATTAAAATCTTTGGCGTAGGTGACTCAATGTCTCCTTAATTCCGAGATGTCCTCCTGTTAAATTATCATGGGATTGACGCAGCACAACTTCTCGTAACTTCCTCGGTATAACTGTTTGCCAAGTCGTCACTTTCCCATCTGTAGTTTCCCATCTCCAGACAAGAATACCATTTTCAAGCTTCAACTGGTCCCATTGTGCCCAATAGTGCTTTGTCACAGGGCTTAGACTAGACACCTTCTCCCAAGCAGGGCGTACAAAACTTGCTTTTAGAAAATCGATTATTGGCTTCAAATCTTGATCTTTCTCCTGCTCTGCTTTAATATCTATACCTGATTTCACTTCACCATCATCAACTTCTTCAGTCACTTTGACTTCAGCTTGATGACACCTAATTAATTCAACCTCTCTTTTAACAGTTATCGGAACTTGGCGTTTGTTGTTCCCAAACGTCATTTTACCAAAATCAATTACAAACTTCCTTGGTAGTAGATAGTCCAATCCTAATATACATTCGTCTTCAATGTCAGCTAAGTATACTTTCTGTCTGTCCTTTATGCCCATGAGCTCAATAGTTACCCACACTGGTCCCCACAATCTTGCAGAATGTCTTGTCACACCATAAAAACAAAAACAATATATCAGAAATACGTAAGTTTTCTTTTCGTTAAGAAAACAGTTAATATTTTATGTATTCTCAATTCGTCAGTTTTGATATTATATACATAACGTACTCCTTTATACAAAATAAAGTGCTATATAAATGAAATTGATTTATTCCTGTAACAAGTAATTCAGAAGTGGTAAGGTCCCCCAGTGGCACAGCGGTAAGTCTGAAGGCTTTTAATGGTAACAACCAACCAACCAAACAAAATGAGTTTCTATACTCGTGGTGGACGTAATACAGAATTCCCTTTGTATAGCTTTGTGCTTAACAAGATAGAAACATACAAATAAGAAGTGATAACAGGGATTTCACACAGGGGCAGAAACATTCGAATTAAAGAAGCCATAAAAACTTTGTATCACAATTACAAACACTAACATGTTTCAGGGTTCGAAAGACGAAGGGGTGGGGGTGGCTCGGGCTAAAACTGTTTTTCTTTATAATACAGTGATTACGTGTTTGTAAAAGTGAACAAAGGGAATACGTGTTATCTATTAGTAGCTACTCTATGTAATGTTAACTTGGTTTGAAATATATATGCATATATATATATATATATTAGCAGACTCCTCCCCCTCCAAGAGGCAAAGTGTAACTTGGGCATTTAGTACAATATAAAATTTATCCAGTTGTATGAAAACATCGTGTTAAAAATCACAAGAGTACGAGAAGAGCAGCATAAAATATTCATACCAAACATCACACAACTTAAATTTTACTTTTTTATTTAACTGCGTATTCAACTTTAATCAGTTGCTTTCTTTTGGAAAGGATACACATTTTCCTGGTTTCAGTTTCATGCTTGTTTTTTATTTATCTGCTGGATTACCATTTTCTCACCTGCATATCTGAACATGAGAGGAAACAGTAAAACGTCATCAACATATATCATGTACTTCCCTCATTGCAACTCCTTCAGTGTAAGCTCCCTTACCTCTAACAAGTGGCAGCAGCATTACACAGTCTAAATGACATAGCACAAAATCGATACAAGTCATATCTCATGCTAAAACAGTCTAAGGTCTGCTCTTGTCATCCAGCTCAAATTGCCAGTATCTGGTTGCTGGGTCTAACATATCGAATTAATGGGGGCTTTTTAACTTGTCCAGACATTCATTTATTTACCATAATGGAAAAGCGTCTACGTGAGTTCCCATATTCAGCCATCTAAAATTAATTCAGAACATGGGCATACCTTCCTTCTTCTTGACAATCACTACTAGAGACTACCAAGCACTATTTGAAAACTGTATGACCTCATCCGAGAGAGCTATCAGGAGTAGGAGAAGTTCTTTCCAAGAAGTAAGATTTTTGCCAATGCTGCGAGGGTCCATGAATTCTATCTTATACAGACAATAATAACTTCGGAAGAAGAGCTGCTAGTAACAGGTACAATGGTGGTTTACACCTTGGAGACAATGAGGATCATCACCACATAACTTAAATTAAAGAAAATAACATACCTATAAAACATTAAGTAAACAAATTTGACACAAATTCTCCCTACCTAACTTAAGTACAAAAACAAAAAATAATGTAGAAATTAAGCAAATAAAAAGCTATTGTTCGTTTATGTTTACTTATTTGTTTTAGATTTAAAAAGTTTTCAACTTCTACCCAGTACCACTATATAATTTTTATATGAGCCTGGTTCTAGACACATGACTGCCTGGTAGAGATGCCCTTCCCTACACCTGATTCATTGCTAACTTTCACTTAAACTTTCATATTCTACATGTGTGAATTGGAGGCATTTTGTGAGAATCACTTACTTGATTTAGCTGAATGATGATAAATCTACCAAGAATACCATACCTCATCACTGGATCTTTTCTGGTACACGTTAAAAGACCATACCTTCTCCACATGCAGTAAGAGAGTTGCGTTTCATCAGCATGAATGTCAATTCTGCCTTACAAGAATTGTATCTAAAAGTCATTTTAGCAAAAGCCAATGATAGTCTCTTGTAAGGTATCTACATTATTATGCAACGTTTAACATTACAGCTAACCCTACTATGGGTAGAGCATGTGTAACCTTAATAGAAAGAAATCAAAACTTAACGTCTTTCTTGACGAGATGTTATGCGAAAAGTTAACTGAATCAGAATAATTGATAAAGTTAAAGCAGCAATACTATATAAGGAGGTAGAAGACTGAAGTAATTTATATATCACAAGATTAACGAAGAGTAAGTAATTTCATTCTTGATGACATCACTTTTCTGAAGTGTTGAGTGGTGATCGTTTATCTTTTCTACATTGTTTTCTTCAACATGAATGCTTTCATTGTTTTTTTTTTTGTTTTTTTTGTTGTTGTT